AACAGCTCTCACAGTTAGGAAGTTCTTCCTCATGTTCAGATGGAATCTCCTTTCTTGTAGTTTGAAGCCATTTTTCTGCGTCCTAGTCTCCAGGGCAGCAGAAAACAAGCTTGCTCCCTCCTCCCTATGACTTTCTCTCACATATTTATACATGGCTATCATGTCTCCTCTCAGCCTTCTCTTCTTCAGGCTAAACATGCCCAGCTCCTTAAGCCGCTCCTCATAGGGCTTGTTCTCCAGACACTTGATCATTTTAGTCACCCTCCTCTGGACACATTCCAGCTTGTCAATATCTCCCTTCAATTGTGGTGCCCAGAATTGGACACAGTATTCCAGGTGTGGTCTAACCAAGGCAGAATAGAGTAGTAGCATGACTTCCCTGGATCTATACTCCTACTGATGCAGGCCAAAATCCCATTGGCTCTTTTAGCCCCTGCTTGACATCATTGGCTCATGTTTAACTTGTTGTCCATGAGGACCCCAAGATCTTTTTCACACATACTGCTCTTGAGCCATGCGTCCCCCATTTGGTATGTTTGCATTTCATTTTTTTCTGCCAAAGTGGAGTATCTTGCTTTTGACACTGTTGAACTTCATTTTGTTAGTTTTGGCCCATCTCTCTAATTTGTTAAGATTGTTTTGAATTCTGCTCCTGTCTTCTGGAGTATCGCCTATCCATCCCAATTTGGTGTTGTCTGCAAACTTGATGATCCTGCCTTCTAACCCTTCATCTAAGTCATTAATAAAGATGTTGAAGAGTATTGGTCCCAGGACAGAACCCTGCAGCACTCTGCTCGTCACGTCTTTCCAGGATGAAGAGGAAGCATTGGTGAGCGCCCTCTGGGTTCGTTTGCTTAACCAATTACAGATCCACCTAATGCTGAGGAGAAGGGAGAAAAAAAAGCTATAGGAAGTAAACAGAGGCAAAAAGCAACCCTGAATGATCCTGAAAAGAGGAATGATGGAAATGGGTCAACCTTAATAGACTCCCCTATTGAGAGTGGTCTATGAAAAAATAAGGAAGGGGAGAGAAAGGGCTTCTTAGCCTTTTCCATCTGTCTTTCAACTCAGCCCCCCTTCCCCTTTCCTCATCTCCTCATTCCCACAGTTGACTTTGAGGATGTTGTCCCTTGAATTCAAAGAGATAAAGGCTGTGTATGTCTTTGCACCACCATCTTACATCTCCCTGGGTTCACATTTGCTTTTGAAAAGCGGTTCCCTATCCAATCCCCACAAAAAGGCCACAAAGCAAAACAGGCAGTGGGGGAGGCAAAGAAAGACAGAAGGGGCCCAAGGAATTAATTTTCTATGTTACTGAGCACATGCTTCCAAATGGAAAACATTTTTGTGGTGCTCCTCCCCCCCCCTTGCTATTGCTGCTACATTTTCACCTCCCCTCCCACAAATCTTTCCCTTCCTCACTTTTCATCCAAGATTCCTGTGTGAAGTCCCTTCCAAGAAGGGATAAAAAGGAGTTTTTTGTGTTTGAACCCTTTCACCTGTGGCAGCCTTATGATAAGGTTGGGATCCCCGAGGCAGCATGTGAAGAGTATTCTCCCACCTGTGAGCCACAAATCCAGGCTCTTTGCTTAGGATCAATGGAGGAGTCAGCCCTCAGGGATCAATTCACAAGAGGAGAAAAGGGGGGGGGGAGCAAGGGGTGTGCTGATGAAATAAAAACCCTTCCCCCCTGATGTCCCCTGCATCCTTTCTGGCCTGCTTCTCTCCATCATTAAGGAAGGTGTGGTCTTCCAAATTCTCCCCCCATCCCATCCATGGCACCAGCAAGAAGGAGGCCAAGGGGCAGGAGAAGCATGACCGTACCTTGGCCTGGGAGCTTCACAGTGAGAGCAAGGGGGAGGGAGGAAGGGAAATCAGTGCCAGCGCTCCGATGAATTGCAAAGGGGCCACTCCACCCCTCCCACCCTGTTCAGTTATAGGGCTTTACTTGCCTGGAAGCCAAGAGAATCCCCATAACTAGAAAGGGGGCAGGTGCATGGGGGAGGGAAGCTTCACCTGCCTGTGCTTCTGCTGTCTTTTCTTGGAGCTATAGGGATTAACTTGGCTGCTGAGTGAAGCCCCATAGATCCAAGGGGGCAGGAATGTGGGTGAGTCCACCCTTCATTCACTTGCCTGGGCAGGTGTGAGAGCAAGTGAATGAAATGTGTGCCTATTATGCAAAGAACAGCAAAATACCAATTTTGCCACCCCCAAAATGGGGGTGCACCTATTATGTGGTGCTGAATATTATGTGATGAAATATGGTATTTCCTTGTAAAATGCTGTGTATATTATCTTCCTTTCTCAGAACTGCAAAAAATTAAACATTTCCTTTACTCTCATAAATATTTGCTAATGATTAGGCCCATCTACCTGATTCTGTCAGGCTTGACTTTTTTTTTTTGCAAACATCCTTTGTGACATTATCTTGTGGATGCATGTTATAAACTAAATGGTAAGATGTAAGTTTAATTGCAGTTGTTCAGAGGAAAGAGGACTTCTCAGTATTTCATCCAGGAAGAAATTGAATGTCTAACAAGATAAAAAATAAAACATCAAAAATATAATAAAACTCCTTGGAAGCTATAATTTCACTATATTTGGGATTTGGATATAGAAAACTCTAAGAACATAAGAAGAAGTCATACTTTGTCAGATCAAAGGCGCATTTAGTTCAGCATTCTGTTCACACAACTAGTTGCCCATGGGAAGCCTGAAAATAGAACATAAGTGCAAACCCATGTTCTCCAACAACCTATACACAAAGTTTCAGTTATTGTATTATACACAATGCTGTGCTCCTTCAGATGGGGCAAATGTCTTGGAGAGTCATGCTTTTGGTTGTTTTTATTTTTTTGTTCTTAAAATAAGTATACAAATGATATTGTTGTTGCCCCAAACTATCTTGCTCTGCCTAAACTATTTTTTTTGCAAATCGCTGCACCAGATTCAGCATTTTATTCCCACTGTCGAGTTTCTTTTTCATTCTGAAATGTGTTGGAATTTCTCTCTCTCTCTTTCTCAGAGTTATTGTGCATCAGTGTATCAATGAAATGGCCTTTTTGTACTATATCATCATAACTTTATTTTATTTGGGGGTAGGGAACAGATAGGAGAAAATGTGATCTTTATTCCATAGAACCATCTTGACAAATCATGACCTTTGGATGAGCCCTAGTGGATATTAAAGAATGAAATGAGGTGTCACAGAGGTGACAATTTCCAGATCCTGGAAAAACCCAGGAAGGCATATTACACAAAGTCACAAACTTAGACAACTAGGTAAGTATTATACATTATTACAATGGAACATTATACAGATATTAGCTGAGAATCTCTGCCTAATAGAGGCACACACTAAGGACACAGTGGTTTAAATAAATGTAAAGGAGCTTTAGATGCTTTGGTGGTGCCTAGTGTCCAGCTAAAGGGGAACCAAATTGTCAAGAGCAGTTATTCAACCTTTTCATAGATCTCATAATTGTTCTTTCTCTTCTGTAATCTGATAATTGATGTGAAACCATTGTTTGTGTGATGTTGGTGGATTGTGTGGGGTTTACTGGTTTCACATCTATAACATGTGTTTGGCTTCTTTGAGACTTACTGAGGAGACTTACTTTAAAGCGGATAGAATGGATTTGAAACATTTTGAAGATTTTCTTTTTGGGCTATGGCATGGCCACTGACGGATCTACAGAAATAGAAATGCATTCACACAGTAGATGGATCATTTCTCTAAGCTAATTTTATTCAGTGGGTGCTGTGAAAAGTATCCCTCTGAAGAAAGGACAGAAAATGAAATGCTCGTTAAAAATGTAAAGGCATGCTGTCCCATGCTACTTTGTTTTAAAAGAATAATTACAAGAAAAATATAGGCTTGGATTGTCCTTGCCCTCACATCCTGCAAAGTCTTCCAAAAATACTTCACAGTGGAACTGGCTTTTGTCTGTCAACCCATGAAGTAAAACGCGAGAATAACAACACAACAACAATAATTGGATTCAAATTGGGCAACTTTTATTTAACGTTACCTATTTAAGTTCTTAACCTAACTCAAGGGTGTAAGGAACTGGTGAAACCTAACCCAGGTAGAATCACTACCCGTTAACAACAATTTCCGGGCGAAGCACCTGGGTTTCGGTAAACAAACCGTATTACCCATGAGGGAAAGGAATAAGGAGTCTCTTCCAGAGCTCTTGTATCGAGACTCCTTCCAATTAAAGGCCATTAACTTACCCCTCACCCAAAATGTCTAGGTGAGTGTATTAACTTACCGGCCTTTCACCCCTTAAAGGGGTGCCCTAGGTGCACACCGACTAAAGGAATTACCCTATCTATTTACGCCTGGCCTATTTAGAGCAACGCCCACACCGTCCATCTAGCCCCTAAACAGTATAGGGTAGGCAAAAAACCCCCCCTATGAAACAAGAAGAGGAAAAAATTCCTACCCGGCTCAGAAAGCAACCCCTAAAGTATACTGTTAATGGGCGGGAGTGGTGGGCAACTTCCAAGCGCAGAATGAGCCTGGGCAGGGGCCAGGCCAATAATCCAGGCCACGCCCCCAGCGTTCTGGAGAGTTCTACCAGAACTCCTCCCTGCCTCATGGGAGGCAGACAAAAGCTGTTTCCTCTCCCCACTTCATGGAGAGATGAAACCTATTGTCTGTCAACCCATGAAGTGAAACGCGAGAAATAACACACACAACAACAATAATTGGATTCAAATTGGGCAACTTTTATTTAACGTTACCTATTTAAGTTCTTAACCTAACTCAAGGGTGTAAGGAACTGGTGAAACCTAACCCAGGTAGAATCACTACCCGTTAACAACAATTTCCGGGCGAAGCACCTGGGTTTCGGTAAACAAACCGTATTACCCATGAGGGAAAGGAATAAGGAGTCTCTTCCAGAGCTCTTGTATCGAGACTCCTTCCAATTAAAGGCCATTAACCTACCCCTCACCCAAAATCTATAGGTGAGTGTATTAACTTACCGGCCTTTCACCCCTTAAAGGGGTGCCCTAGGTGCACACCGACTAAAGGAATTACCCTATCTATTACGCCACGGATTGGGGGCAAATGTCTATTTCGCCCCCATCCCCCACCAATTCCTCAAGCACCCCTCTAATACCATCCTGTAAATTCAATAAAAAACGTTGGTTGCCCAGCTCTGAAAGATGTATCCCGTCACCCCTATATAACTCCTCATCAAAACGTGTGATGTTTGGGTGTTCAATGTAATGACCTCTCTGACATACCATGAACAGACGCATGGCCCGGTTCACTCGCTTCCTGGCTTTTTCAAGCCTCCCCACGTCGCCTCCACCTAACCACCTGCGACGAGGTATAATAGCGGACCAAACGACGTGAACCCGAGGCCATGTCCACCAAATCTTCTTAATGTCAGCCCGAGCTTGTAAAAATAGGGCTTTGCCTGTTAACAGGCCCAAATCGTTACCACCGAGGTGGATAACTAAAACMTCAGGAGGCAAAACACTCCCGGCACTGAACAACAATGGGCACAAACCGTCCCAACGCAGGCCTCTCTTGCCTCTCCATTCCACCGCCGCCGTGGAAGCAAGACCCAAATGCTGGCCATAGGCAGTCCTGTTGGCCTCTCTGCCAGCCCAGAAGACAAAACTGTGACCGCATATCAGGACCCTTCTTCTATGTGCCAGCCCAGAAAGACCTGYAACGATAACAATATTATGATGAAACTGACCGCACATAACTCCTGAACGCGCCAGACCTCCATCTACCTATCGATTTGATTTCGTCAGTTCCGTAGCCCATTGAAGCTGCCGCCGTGGCAGCGCCAATCCTAAAGGAGTGGGTCCCAAATTTAAGATGTCCCAAACCCAGGAGGTCCAASGCCTTGGCCGTAATGGCCCAGAACTGGTATTTAGTCAGCGGTGTACCATCTTGGTGGCGAAAYAAATAACCCTCCTCACTTCCCCTGAGTGCCGCAAATCGCATCATGGCCACTACAGGGCATAAGTCCTCATCACCGCATCTTAGCAACTTAATCACTTGACCCTTTGCCCCCTGGTCGGTTTTGGAAGTTCTAATCCTAACCTCCATGCTCTCCTGAAAAATAGAAATATCGGAAACCAGCAGCGCGCGGCGTGAGGTATCATTCTTGGAAAAAGCCACCAATTCACTCACCCGCATGGCTGCAAAAAATGCAGTTAGCGCTGCCGCATGATATAACACCTGTTCATAGTAAGAAGCACACAAGTTGGGCCACAACTGCTTTATTCCTCTAAGAATCAAGGGCGTCATYGGCTCCCGGACATCCTTAGGATGCCCGTGCTGCCTGGACCAACCCGCTAAAATTTTATGYAACCTAAAATCGTCAGTAATATCAGCAAGTCCTTGGGYCTTAAACCAGAATGCCAGTGCTGATAACTTTGCTCTAATTGACTGGGGCGCTAAACCTCTCCTCCTATGATAAACACAAAACTGCGCCACGTGCTCGTACGGCACAGGCACTGCCTCAGGCAATCCATAATGCTGTCTAAACTGCAAGAAYTCCTGAACAGCCCTGTTGTAAGATTTCCTGGAGCTAGGGGCTAACGCCAAACTCATACCTAACGCTGTCTCGTCTCTCCAACCCTCCAGAGATGGTCTGGCATGGTCTCTGCACATACGTCCGCGCCGGGTGCCAACAGCCTGAAGCGCCCCATCTGCATACGAGACAGAGCGTCAGCCAAATCATTATTGATACCCGCAACGTGAAAAGCCCTAAACAATATATTAAATTTGAGACAATGTAAAACGAACTGGCGGACCGCCCCCATAACTCTGCGAGATTTAGATGTGAGAGTATTAATGACCTGYACTGTGGCCATATTATCACACCAAAAATGYACMGTCGCATTGGYAAAGCTATCYGCCCAMAGCGTAACCGCTACCAAAATAGGAAAAAATTCCAAAAAGGTTAAATCTGACGTAACTCTCAACGCATGCCAATGGTCAGGCCATCTTTCTGCGCACCAGTGCCCCTCAAAATAGACTCCGAAACCAACTGCCCCAGATGCGTCCGAGGCCACTTGCAAAGCATTTTTAACCATCAATTCCTGGCGCCAAAATGAAATCCCATTAAATTGGCTCAGAAACTGCTGCCAAACGGCCAGATCAGCCTTTATCTCACGCGTTATTCTAATATGATGATGGGGCAACAACACGCCAGAGATAGCGTCACACAGTCTGCGCAAGAAGGCGCGCCCGGGCGCGATGACCTTACAAGCGAAATTCAAATGTCCAATTATCTGCTGAAATTCTTTCAACGTGGCTTTATGCCGCTTCACAAATAGCTCTAATTTGGCTAACAATCCCACAACCTTTTCTTTGGGTAACCTCGAAAACTGATTGACCGTATCCAACTCAATCCCTAGGAATGTCAACACAGTGAGGGGGCCCTCGGTCTTTTCTTCAGCTAAGGGCACCCCAAGCTCTACTGCCAATTGTTGAAAAGCGCGCAACAGGGCCTCACAGTTCCCTGACCCGCCTTGACCCACAAAAAGAAAGTCGTCAAGATAATGCACGACGCCCTGACGTCCGGACTTTTCCTTCACAGCCCACTCCAGAAATGTACTAAAAGCCTCAAAGGTAGCGCAGGACACCGCGCAACCCATGGGCAAAGCCCGATCTAAGTAAAAGAATCCCTGAAACTGGAAACCTAATAACTCAAAATCGGCAGGATGAACCGGAAGCAACCTAAACGCCGATTTAATATCGCATTTTGCTAACTCCGCCCCAGGTCCATACCGCCGCACCAACCGGACAGCTGCGTCAAAAGACGTATAACTCACCGAACATTGCTCATCGGGAATGGCGTCATTCACCGATCCTCCTCTCGGGTAGGACAAATGATGAATGAGGCGATATTCACCAACGGCCTTCTTGGGAACTATACCCAGAGGTGAAACCCTAAACTGAGGCGTGGGGGGTGCCGAAAATGGACCCAAAACCCTGCCTTCCTTAACCTCCTTGTCTATCTTACTCTTAACTATAGCTTCTAAACCCACRACYGATTTCAAATTAGGCGCAAAAAACGGAGCGCGAGGCCCAAAGGCCGGGATCCGAAAACCATCACTAAAACCGCTGCGCAAGTAATCAGCTGCGGCCTTGTCCGGATATCTCTCCAACCAGCACCTAAGTGGACCCACCCTGATTGGGCTGGGGCCCTTTTGGAACACCCCCCTGCCCTGGGTTCCTTTTAACAAACTGCCCGCCTCTGAACCCAGATCGAGCGGGCTTTCCTTTGAAGCAACTCTTGGTAGCGTGATTTCCTTGACAAATCGCACAGGCGTGCTGATATTTACAATCTTTACGGGCACAAACACCCTGGGCCGCGTATTCCCAGCACATACCCTTTTGTTTCTGTGACTGCTGTGCTGGGTTGCCCCCCCGAAAGGGCTGTTTTTCTCTGGTGTTCTGTATCGTGTGGCCGCTATCGGCCTTCTCACCAGAAACTGCCCTGGTGGTATTCATCACTTCCATCCATAACTGGCTGTCAATGATATCCCATCTTTTGTCAGGTTTTGTGGCTGCCTCAGATCGAAAACGTCTATCGTAAACCAGCCAAGCCTGTCCCATGTAGTTGACGTAAGCCCCGTATATAATATTCTGGTATTTAAATAATGCCTTGGCCCTATACGGATGGGCCTCAACCAAAAGGGATGCATATATAGTATAACATGCAATCCAATTCTTCCAATTCTGTTCCACCCTCCTATGCTTTAGCTTTTCTTTTCGCTCGTCATCCAAATCCTCCTTCTCTTTTTTATCCAATTCCCTAAAGTACAATGAAAAAATATCAACATACTCATTTCTGAGTATCTTGTCAATTGTCTTCTGCGACAAGTGAGATCCTAATGATGCCGAAGCCGCGGTAGCAACTACCGGCAGAACCCACTTATCTGTTCCCCAATACTGGTTGTCTTGTCCCGTCCTAGCCATCTCCAATGTAACCGGTGACCCCACAGCCGCTTGTGGGCTCGCTTTGGTGACCAACTCGCTTCCYGACCCAGGTGTCATGYTCTGTATAGTGGGTGTGGTGTTTTGTGTTTGGCTCAAGCCCCAAGGCCAGACCATTGTGGTGCCATTACCCGCAGATGTTGACGGACCCTCTACGCTGACGCTCTGCATCAAYGGCTGTCCCACTGGCGCCGGCTCCGCCGTAACCGGTCTCGCCGTCGGTGAYGACCCCTCYGGAACTGCCCGCACARCAGCGGCTGGCGCCTCTTTTGCTGCAGAGGTTGAGCTGACCGGCGATGTAGCCGCCGACTTTTCTCCCGCGACCCTCTCAGCAGCGTCTCGCACTTGACCAACCTCCACGACCGAAGGAACCTCACCACTCTGGGCAAACCCCACTTGGCTGGGCTGCTCACCGTCTCTCCCCACAGGCGGTCGACTGGCCTCTAGAACAGACATACGGGAGAGTAAGCTTTTAAAAATTTGCTTTCGACTAGCATGCCGCGCAGGCCGGGAACCCGCCTCCCTCACTGCTAGCCCTCTCTCCCTTTCATATCTATCCATCCTGGCCAACAAATCGTTCAACTCCTCAGCAGAAACATCCTCCTCCTCCGATGATGATCCCCTGGGAGGGAGGGGACGCTTCGCCGGTGTCTTCTTGGCAGGCCCTTTCCCTTTTGGGCCGCCCACGTTCTTCATTGGCGTCATTCTGCAAAAAGAGAGTTAACAGCGACAACGTCAATGCCTGAACAACGTTTCCACAAACTACATTGGATTTTAAATAAACAGGAAGAGGGGGGTGGGGTGGTGGGACAAATCTGGAAGGCTAAAAGTAAGCCACTAAGAAGACCAAACATCTATGTAGGACTTGTTAAACCCCGCGGCCCTAATCATATAATTAAACATTGAGTCTAAGCCCCCTATACTATTGACTGCAGAGAGCAGGAGCTAAATCAATACCATCACAAAAGAGCCAACGATGCTCACAGACACCCCCCAACATGCGGCCAGCATGACCGCCTGGAGTGCCAGTACCCATTGATCTACTCACACCTGCATGGCCTCAAACTACCATGCTGGCAGACATTTGCAGTGCAACATAGGTACCCGAATTATTGATCCAGTCACACTCACCTTGACAAGGCTACCTTGCAACCCTAATACTA